TGACTGGGTGATTCTTCTGTTCTGCTGGTGTTGACAGAGATGACTTAGTGGTAATGAGCTGGCAGATCGGCTTATCTGGTGGGGTTCAAGATACCTGCTCTTAAATGTCTGGTGCCTTGGTTGGAAGGTTCAGAAATGCCTACAGGGCCTCTTCAGCAAGATGACCTCAAAAAAAGTTGAATTCCCATCCCCACGTGGTACTGGGAATTGAACCTGGAATGCTTTACCGTCGACCTACATTTCCAGCTCTTTTTATTTTTTATTTTGAGACGGGGCCTTGCTAAGTTACCCAGGCTGATCTCAAACTTGCAAACAGACTCCCTAATAGCTGGGATTATAGGAGTGTACCATATGCCTGGTGGGAAGTTTGATTTCATACATAGTGACCTAGGGCTCTGACAGCAAGTGTCCCACTGAATAAAGCAGAAGTTGCAAAGACTTTTATGACCCAGCCTTGGAAACCACACAGCTTTGGTGTTGTCTTATTCCATTGGTCAAAGGACTCACAAACCTGCCAGAGGCAAGGACAAGGGACATGGACCCTCATTTTTTTAATAAGAAGAATGTTATGAATTTGCAATTATATTTTTTAAAACCATTCCATATAAAACCACCATGAAAGATTCAGGAGTAGGGTACAGGTGAGAGTTGGGGACTAACTAGTTTATTTTGAGGGTCCCTGGAGTGACTAAGGAGTAATGCCCCTCATACATTTAGTTAGAGTATGTTGGATACACCCAATCTCTGCTTGCCTTAACTCCACGACAATGGGTCCCTTAAGGTCACAAAAAATGTTAGAACCAAATCCAATAGAATTTTCTTTGTTTTGTTCCTTTGACACTTATCCCAAACTTGACATTGGTCAAGACTCAACGTTTCTTTAATTATATATCTCACATCCAGATTCCAGGACTGGGCAGTTAGGATACTGTTTCTTATCCTAACTCTGCCTTTGGGAGGCCATTCTTCTCAGAGAACTCTGGGTTCCTCTATGGTGTGGCCCCTGTCCCCTTTTCCTAGTCCCATGCAAGTGCACCCCTTTCAACACGTCCATGTCACTAACTCCCAAGTACCTCCCCAACGTCAAGTTCTCACTCTCTTAGCAAATTATAGGCAACTTCCTGTAGTAGCTGCTACACATGTAACAACACCATTCTTTCCAAATAAATTCAAGATTTTAAATGTTGTTCTCATCTCCTTGCCTCTAAAATCACCTACCCTGGCCTGGGACTGTGGCTCGGCAATAAAACACTCGCCTAGCATGTGTGAGGCCCTGGGTTCCATCCTCAGCACCACATAAAAAAATAAATAACTAAAACAAAGGTATTGTGCCCAACTACAACTCAAAAAAAAAAAAAGAAGATCACCTTCCCTTTCCAGCTGCCTCATAACAATAAGTTTGCTACATCACGGAACCTGCTACCCATTAAACAATTCACTTTTGAAAAATCTTTGATTCCACATCTAAACTTTCATAAAGCTGTATTGTCTATTAGATGAAAAGTGACATTATGTGAGAGCATTTTACAAGCATTTCACAGGTATAAGGTGACAATATAAATCCACAATTACAATAGATTTTCAGGATCTGCTCCTCATTTGACTTCTGTGGGCTCATCTCTTTTCAACTTTTTGTCTTCCCCTTCCTTTCTCTCCATGACTGACTTCCCAGTCCATCAGGCCACCAGAATACACTCCTCCCTGTATACCCTGCTGTACATCTTCACGCATGCATCTTCTTTTGCCTTAGTGGCTCTTTATTTCAACAGGTCTTTGTAGAGGAGAAACCTCTCTGTCTTCTTCCTCCTATTTATTGTGAGTCCACCCATTGGTGCACATGGCCTTCCTCAGGCAAGCCCTCAGAGTGTGCACTCCCGTGGAAATTCCTTAGAACTGGGTTCTTGCCAGGCAAGGTGGCACACACGGTGATCCCAGTGACTCAGGAGGCTGAGACAGGAAGATGGCCAGTTCAAAGGCAGCCTCAGCAACCTAGTGAGACCGTCTCAAAATAAAAAATAAAAAAGGATTGAGGATGTGGCTCAGGGGTTAAATACCCCTGGCTTTATATCCCTGGTACCAAACCAAACCAAACGGAATGACAATAACAAAAAATAAAACTAGGTTCTTGCAGAGAACACACCCCTTTTCTTATAGAGGATTTGAGAATTATTCTTTAGGAGCTTCATGTCTTAATCGCTCTCCCCTGATGACTCCAACTTCCACTCACTCTTTTTGGGTTGCCTTCTGTGTTGAGTACCAGCAGGACCCAGGACTCACTATGGATGATGGTAATATCCAAGGGATCTTATGTTGAGAGGTCTTGAAAATGGGGGCCTGATCTTTTCCCCTGCCCTCTTTCTTTCTCCTGTTTCCTGTAGTTTCCCACTTACATTTTTTAAAGGGCATTTTCAGATGTTTTCAAAATATAAATAAATCCTTGCACAATGGTAGAGGTATGAAAATCTTCTGCCACAAAAACACACATTAGGGTATTTGAGTTATCACTATAGTTAGCAGGATTCAGACCTGGGGCAGCTCTGGAACCACATTTTATACAGTAGGGAACAAGAGTCGCAGTAAAGATGACTTTCCCAGGGTCACGGAACTGGTAAGGTGGTAGAGCTGTATCTGGAGCCAAGCTACCTGCCTATTGCTTGCGTCCCTTCCACTGTGTCCCCTAAGAAATGTACCTACAAGGAGCTACAATGATAGCTCATTTTGTACAGTGCTGTAGCAACTTGCTGACCGCGTTCTAGGGCGTCTATAGTCTCATTGGACTTTTCCCTACAAAAAGTAATCAAACATTTTATTCTTTTTTGAAAGCTTGGTCTTTACGTGGATTTTTTTCCAAGTCTGGTTTTGGTGATGGGAAAGTGACGGGAAGGAAAGAGAATGGTGAAAATAAATGGAGAGAAATGGAAGCAGAAAATGTTTCCAGGTGCCAGCAAGGAGCCCGGGGAGTATGAGGAATGCCGCCAGCGCCGGCCACTTGTCTCCTCTAGGAGGCTTGGCGGGGACCTTTTTAGCAAGAGCTCTGAGATCGCGCTCGTTTGGGGGATCCCCCACCTGCTCCCTTCCCTAGCCGAGGGTCCCAGCAGGAGAGTGATAGAGGGTGCCGCGCGCCTACTGCGAGGAAGGGGATGTCTGCCTGTCGCAGATGCGCTTTCGGGGTGACGTCCGGAGCTTGGCGCAGATGGTGGGGTCCCAGGCCAAGGATTTAGTGATTGAAGGGAGGCTGGGCAGGCGCTGGGCGAGGAGGTGTGGGAGGTACTGGCACCAGGGCACGCCCCTGCCGGTCCCCCCGCCCAGGTCTTCCCGGCTACATATGCCACCGCGGGTGGCCTGGGCGCAGCAAGTCACCCTGGCGCGAGCGTCCGGGGGAGACGCGCGGGCTCGGTTGCACCACTGCGCTCCGCCTGCAGCCGTCACCTCTGGACTGCCACCTCCCTGGTGGTGGCTGTCCCAGAAGTCAGAGAGTGGGCTCGCTGCCCAGGCCGGGAGGGAAAAGAACTTCCAACTTGGAGGTTGGAGCCTTTCGCTCTTGCCAGGCGCCTGGCCCCGCTTTCTGAGTGAGGATGGTGAGCCCCACGGCCTCCGACGTGCACCCGACCATGGGCATCAAGATCGTCTCAGCCGGAGTGTCAGCCTGCTTGGCGGATGTGATCACCTTCCCGCTGGACACCGCCAAAGTCCGGCTACAGGTATCGCGAGCCAGAGGCGGATGGCTGGGGGTCTGGGACAGAGAGAGGACCGCCCGCTATGGTGTGTGTCCCTTTGATGCAATGTTTGGGCTCAACCACCCTTTCAATAAGCGAAGGATTGGGCTGGGGATATAGCTCAGTTGGTAGAGTGCTTGCCTTGCATGCATAAGGCCCTGGGTTCTAATCCCCAGCACCCAAAAAAAAAAAAGCGAAGGATGGTGGCAGCCTTGGAGAGCGGCTTGGCTGTCTGGGATTGGATGCTTTGGGATGGGAAACTGAAACTTTTCCATGGACTAGTTGAACCAAGGTCAAGGATGATGGGTTGGCCATAACTACTGCCAAACCCCCCAAAAGTTGGGAGCCCTAAGAGTTCTAAGCACCAAAGTACTAACCCTAACCTGTACCTCTCTCATTTCCAGATCCAAGGCGAATTCCCTGTCTCCAGCGGTATTACGTATAAAGGAGTCCTGGGAACAATCACCACCCTGGCCAAAACCGAAGGGCCCATGAAACTGTACAGCGGGCTGCCCGCGGGACTGCAAAGGCAAATCAGCTTCGCCTCTCTTAGGATCGGCCTCTACGATTCTGTCCAGGAGTTCTTCACCTCAGGGGATGAAAGTAAGCAAACAGCCTTACTGGGGTTCCTGGGGGCTGGGCTGTTTGGAAACGTGACCTGGGAGGCTGTGGTGGAACTCAGTTGGTAGAGCCACTGGCTTAGCTTATGGGAGGCCCTGCCTCTATCCCAGCACCACTAAACCAACAAACAGGGTAGTGGTCTCCATAACAATTTGGCCACAAAACATCAATATTTGAATTCTTGTCCTTTCCCCAGGTTCATAGAAAGAAAAGTCTGCAAATCATTTTTTTTTCAGATGCAAGTTTACTTATAAAAATCACCCAGACCTTGATGCAAGTTTTGGGTCTAATTTAGGTCTCCCTCTGGAGACCTAAACAGCAAAGTATATCAGAAACACCTCTGGAACTTGTTGAAAATCCAAATGAAATCTACCATGGCCCTCTGAATCTGAATTCTCAGGCTGGGGACCCAGGAATCTGTACTTTCTTGTACAAGCTTTCCTGGTAATTTGGATATCTAACATGAGATTTGTGAAGAAAAGGCAGCTAGAACTTGAGAAGAGAGTCACAGGACAGGAAAAACTCATCTCCTTGTCCAGAGGGTCCTAGGAGTCTTTTTACCGCTAGGGAGGGCCAGATAATAGAAGGTATTATCTGTGTATCTGGGTTTGTTCAGGGGAAGGCAAGGAATCAGATGATTCCTGAGTGCCAGTGTAGTCTGAGCTCCTATCCGTTTAGCCAGGAAGTATTTAAGTCCTTCCAGTATCCTGGGCTTTTAGTTGCGATACATCACAACTAAAAAGATACTGATATTATGATCCCTTGGCAAATGGGGAAATTGAGCAATTTCATAATGTTCCCAAGTTCACATACCAGGAAAGGGGCAGAGCCAGAGTTCAAACCCAGGCAGTCTGTTCTCTGACCCCAGCTTTTAACCACTACACCTGCTGCCCTCTGCATCTGGCATATGATCCTCTACATCCTTCAATCCGGACAGCAATGCCATGAGTAGAAGGTATTATCTGAATTACAAAAGCACACAGTACATAGTAGAGATGCTGTCATGTGAAGTAGACAAGCCAGGGAGATGTGCTAACAAGGAACCATTGAAGTAACTCCTTGGCTTGATGTCATCATTTGTCTTGAGTAACTTTTGAATACTGTAAGTATATGGGATAATTTTAAATTATTATGTATCTGTACAAATATAACAAACTTATCCACACAAGTACTCTCAAAGTGAAAATAAAGTCTGTATGTTTCTAGATCGACACTGAATTGTCCAAGGTAAAGAAGAGCATGAAACACAAAGGATGTAAAGCTGTCCATTCAGGTGGTTTTCTTCGCAGAATGACTCTTCTAATCCGTCACTGAGTACTTTAGGCACCAAATGAATGAGATATATTTTGGTTCTATGGTGCAACTATTTGGTTCCTTTGGTAATCTTTGTTGAACTGCCAACATGCCAGAAACTGAGTTAGATGTACAGATGTTCATGGTTCAGGGTAGGGGACTTGTGGGGAGGAGGAGCCAATAGATAACTATATATCATGGCATGTGCTATGTCACAGTGAAGGGAAACACAACTAGCTGCAGGGGCATGGTCATACCAGGTTTTCCTAAAGCTAATGTCTGAATTGAGTTGAAGGATCAGTAGGAGTAATCCAGGCAAAGTGGTAAGAAAAGACCCTTCAAGCTGACTGAAGTTAATGTACAAAGATTCAGACAGGATGGAGAGAACTTACAGAGCAGAGGGGGAGGGCATGTTGTCCAGAAGGGAGAAAAGCAGGAAGGAGCAGATCACAGGCCAGGCTCATGCTAAGGAGTTTGGACTTTGTGCTGACAGTGGTGAAAAATTATTGAAAAAATATTAAGCAGGGAGAATGGCATAAACACATCTCATAGAGTATATATAAAGAAAGGATAAGAAAGGGGTAAGTCAGAAAGTAAGAAATAATCAAGTGATGCCCCAAAGCGTTGGCAATAGGGAAGGAGATGTCAATCAGAAAGATTTAGGAAGTGCAATTGACTGAAGTTGGTGAAGGACTAGAAGTAAGGATTAAGGGAGAGGTAGGAATGTAAGGTGAGTTCTGAGTTTCTGGCTAAAGACACCACTTCTTCGGGAGGGAATATAGAAGCTATCTCATGGGGGGAAGATAGATTCAGTTTAGGACTCACCCAGAGGTGATGTCCAGGAGGCACGCGAGCTTAGGAGACAGATCTACATGAGATTCCAGGAAGCAGAATTGCAAAAACACATTCATCAGAGTAAAGGGGTGGAAGGACTGAGGAGGAGCGGAGGACTGAGGAGGAAAAGAGGCGGCAAACTCGGCCTCTCTCAAGGGGCCTACCTGTCATGAAGAAGGACAGGAGGGAAGGAGACTGGCATGTAGGGTACGTGAACCTGAGTGAGATCATAGACACGGGCCTAAGTGACGGCAGCCTTCACCATGACATCAACAAGTGTAAGCTCAGCTGTTGGCCAAGCAAATGTGCAACCAGAATAGAGATGAAAATTTGCTTCCAGTTTTGTGTATTTCCTCTGTACTATCCAGTGTGTTGAGGGCTTTGTCTATATTATTTTAATTCACACCATGATTTTATGAAGTCAATATTATTAACTTCATAAATAATATATTATTTAAGAATAATATGATGTTATTATAATTTATAATTATGTATATCATTAAATATAATATCTATATAATAATTTATGTATAATATTAATATTATATAAAAATAATATTAGGGATAATATAATATTATTTATATAATATTATATTATATAATATTAATTTATATATAATATTTTATATATAATATAAATATTTTCTCCATATAATATTTATGTTATAATAATTTTATATAATGTTAATATTATATATGATATTAATATTATATATAAATAATATTAGATTATTATTCCTGTTCACAGACTAGGAAACGGAATTAGGAAGACTGAGAGAGTCCTTGATGAGTAAATGTTATTGGACCATAACTTTATATTTCATGACTTCAAGACTCTTTGTAGTTGTATTAAGTTGTATTAGGCTTCAAGACTCTTTGTAGTTCTATTAAGTGATACCTGTCTTGTTTTGTTTTGTTTGTGGTGGTATTGGGGGTTGAACCCAGAGGAGTTCTACCACTGACTTACACCCCAGCTTTTTTATTTTGACACAGGGTCTCCCTAAGTTGCCCAGGCTGGCCTTGAACTTGTGATCTTCCTGCCTCAGCCTACTGAATAGCTGAGATTACAGGAAAGCATCACCAGGCCCCGCTAAATGAGATCTATCTTGAGTGACATTAGCTATTTTTCCAACATTTCAAGACAAATATCACCTTCTCGACTTCTTTCTTCTTACTTTCATCCTCTTTCTATGGTGTAGTCTACTACTTACAAGTTAAGGCAACTTGTCTACTGGGCTTCTCCTAAGACCACAGAGTCCAGTGATTAGCATCGTCTTTAACAGGAGGAAGATAAGCATCACAGGTGACCGGTGCCTTCTCATAGTTGGGAAATATTGAAAAAGACAGCAAAACACAGGAGGAACTATGCTGAATGCCAGAAGAACAAAACCACTGTCCATTCAGACATTTTAACTTTTTCCTTGAAAGTCTTTATTTTTTAAAAAAAACTTTCAGGCAACTGAATTTTCCTAGCCCAACTATGATTTGGTCCTTTGTTAGTACATGGTCAACACATGAACACACAATTGGGAAAATAGAGAAGTAGTAAAAATATAAAAACACTAACCACTAAACATTTAAGAGAAATAGGAATGCATTTGGGGTTTTGAATTTGGTGTCTTGAAAAATCATTTTTTCTCTCTGGACCGCAGCACCCAGCTTGGGAAGCAAAATCTCAGCCGGACTCACAACTGGAGGAGTGGCAGTGTTCATTGGGCAGCCCACCGAGGTGGTGAAGGTCAGGCTCCAAGCACAGAGCCACCTACACGGTCTCAAACCTCGCTACACCGGGACCTACAACGCGTACAGAATTATAGCAACAACAGAGAGCTTCAGGAGTCTTTGGAAAGGTAACTAACTTCTAGGTGCATTTTCTAACCATTAAAACACATTTATCCAAGAGTTTATTAAACTTTGTCTTTTGTTTTTTTTCCTCCAGGGACTACTCCTAATCTGTTGAGAAATGTCATCATCAATTGCACAGAGTTGGTAACATATGACCTGATGAAGGGGGCTCTTGTGAGAAACAAAATCCTAGCAGGTAGCTTCCTATTTCAGACAACACACACATTGACACCTCTATTATTTCATCTTGGAGTTTTTATAGCCATGTTCTACTGAATCTCTTTCTCTCTCTCTCTCTCTCTCTCTCTCTCTCTCTCTCTCTCTAGTGGGGATTGAACCCAGGGGCACTTAACCACTGAGCTACACCCTCAGCCCCTTTTTATTTTTTCATTTTGTTTCCTAAGGCTTTACTAATGTTGCTGAGACTAGCCTCAAACTTGAGATCCTCCTGTCTCAGCCTCCTGAGTCTCTAGGATTACAGTCGTGTGCCACTGTGCCCAGCTGAATCCCTTATTCCTAATAGTCTTCCCATTTTAGAACTTAAGCAATTTTGAACATTAAATATAATGTTTTGAGAAGCAGAAAAAGAGCTATAGTTTTGCTGCAATAAAATTTTTTGCAACAAATTTTTGTTGTTGTACTTCTGCTGCTGCAAAACCAAAATTCAACTGCCCTTCATATCAATATTATTCTCATTTAAGACTAATATATGAACTTTTGTGAGAATCATATTCCTTCTATGGCAGAATTCCGGAGGTAAGTCCCTCCTGCACTGTAGCCAAAAAAGCTAGTTATATAAGGAGTCCATCAGTGATTTCATCTTCCATAGGATAGTTCCTCAAAGTAACATTGTTTCTAGAGACACTGAAAGTCTCTTTTGACAATGACTTTCATTCAATTAAAAAATGTCAGATGCCCATGTACCAGGCATTATGCTGGGCCCCAAGGCCATAAGGAAAACAGTTATTCTCAAGTGTTTACAATCCATTTTGCCAGGTACTATTGACCACCCGCCTAGCTGCCAGCATGACCTTGTGATTAATTATAAGACATCCACGTTGACCTCCTGTGACCAGTAGGGTTACAATGAGTCTGGTGCTGACCTGTCCCATTGACACATTCTAGATGATGTCCCCTGCCACCTGCTGTCCGCTTTCGTCGCTGGATTTTGCACCACACTCCTGTCCTCGCCTGCTGATGTAGTGAAGACCAGATTTATTAACTCTCCGCCAGGGCAGTATACCAGCGTGCCCAGATGTGCAATGACAATGCTCCACCAGGAAGGGCCGTCGGCATTTTTCAAAGGGTAGGTTGTGCTCTTCTGCATGTGCGTGGTGTGCAGGGTGCCTTGTGCCTTGGGCTGGGTCTCACCTGAACAGCTGGAACCTGGCTTTCTAGCCTTAGCATGCGCAGTGGACTCAGTATCGACTTTTCCTTGCCACGGGTTTCTCCAACCCACCAATTCCACTGTCCCAGAAAAGAAACAGCTATAATGGTAATAAGTTCTCAGCTTTGCTTAGAGGCTTATTCAAAATCAATATCCTTCCTATTGGTTTCAGTCTATTGGAAAGTGTGTAAGACCATATTCTAATCATTAAACCGTTCTTGGAGCAGGAGAACTATAAACTAGAAGAAAGAATAATAGAGGGCCATGAGAAAATAAGATTTGGTTTTCATTATTTTAATTTGACAGATTCAACTTTGACAATTTTATTAAAGCAAAAGTAGAGAAAAGTCATCACCACCCATCTAGAAAAGTGATGCAGAAAATGATGTGGCTTAACTCATCTAGAAACTAGTATTGAGTAACGGGTCGTTTTTTCCATAAAACGACATCATATCATGTGAATCATATCATGTCATAAATCACTTTCCTAAGAAAATATAGTATGAATTTAATTTCTGAATATTTTCAGAAAGGTTTATTCTATTGATAGTAAAAGTCTCAAACCTTGTAAAAACAAGCAGGAAACTGGTAGTGGTGGCACACGCCTGTAATCTCAGAGGCCCAGGAGGCTGAAGTTGGAGAATCAGAAGTTTGAGGCCAGCCTCAACAACTTAGCAAGGCCCTGAGCAGCTGGGGATGTAGCTGAGTTCAATCCCCAGTACCCTACCCCCAACCCTAATGAGAGGCATTAACCACCTATACCATAAAAGCTTTAAGAATTTCAAACAAGCTAATAGAATGGTGACATGCACTTTTCTAGATTTCTACCTTCCTTCCTGCGACTGGCATCCTGGAACCTCATTATGTTCGTGAGCTTTGAACAGCTGAAACGAGAATTGATGAAGTCCAGGCAGACAGTGGACTGCGCCACATGATCAGCTTCCAGAAAAGCATGTAGCACATCAGAGGGAATTGCTGATTGGATCCCTAATAAAAACAACCCCCAAACGACCCTATTGGTCTTAGTTCACTCTAAAAAATCAAAGAAATTCTGGTAGACAGTTTGGGACTTTCTTTTAAAAAAAAAAAGAAAAGAAAGGGGGAAAAAAGTCCAAGAACAAAAAAAAAAAAAGTTAAAAAGGCCTAACTATAGTGTCAACTGGTGGAAAAGGAAAAAATAAGTACATTTTACATTTATAAATACTTAAAGATGAAGTTATCACAGAAAATTTTACTGTTTTATTTATTAACCACAGTTGTCAGTTAATATAGTCAATAAAGTATTGCTAATATCTTTTGAAGTTGGTCTTTGGGGATCTGCACCTGGATATAAGAGGGTTCACCTCGAACACAACATTATCCAACAGCAAGTGAAGGTATTTAGAATCAACTGGCAAAAACTGACGGAATGTGGTTAATATAGATTTTTCAAGTCCATGCTTTATGGCAGCTATAACCACTTCTAATGGGAGGCATTGTTGGTGTTAGAGTCATGGTATCCATCATGGAGTCAGAGAATTTTAGAGTTGGAATGTCCATTTGGGCAGACAGAGGAAGCATCCAAGATTCCTACGAGGAAAAGTAAAACTTCATGGGATCTTTCCAGAAAAGCCAAACTTATTATCCATATGTGTAAGTGAGCTTTTTATGCTTAAAAATGAGTGCAGAAGAGACAAGGAAAGCAGAGACCAGAGATGGATAGAAGTATAAGACAAGGCCAACCTTGTTTTAAACCCTAAACAAGGCATTATTCTGTTTCTGTTTTAATCAACCTTACATTACATTTATGATCACAGCTTTCCTCACATTCAAGACTTCACACTTACCTGTGTCTGACCAGTTAGTGTTGCTATTACAAAATACTGAAACTGGGTACTTTAAAGAGAAAAGATGTTTATCTGGAACATCTACTCAGATCTGCTGGCCTATGGAATCGCAATAGAGGGAGTGCATGCTGAAGAGAACACATGGTGAGACAGGAGGCAGAGTCTGGGGAGAGGCCAGGCTTGCTCATTTTATAACAATCCATTCTCAAGGGAACTCACTCCTCAGAGACTCAACCCACATACCAGGAGCCCCTCAGGACCTAATTACCTTCTACCAGGAACCTCCTCTTAAAGGCTCCTCCACCTCAACACTGCACACTGGGGACCAACCCTCGAGCACAGGATCATCTCAGGGACAAACCACACTCAAACCATAGCACTTTCCTTCCCCATATGTTACAGGTAAGAGCGTCTTGTGGCAGATGCTGTCAGGCCCCCTACATACAGGATTCCTCTTAACAAGTTGGTGCATGCTGGCCTGACTTCTGGTTGCCATGTCAGCACCTCCTGTTGTTAGGATCTTCTCCCAGCTTTGCCCATCCGCTCCAGGCACACTAGATGACTGGGAAATAACACCCTTAGACACAGCCTGGACCAGTGACTTGCTCGAGATGGTGTATCAGTATCTCAGTTCTCTGGACCCGCCCCCACCCCCAGGTGAAATACAGCTGAGGGATCAAATGATCACACGTCAGTGGCATTTTGTTTGATACAAAGTCCCTGTGTGGGCTGACTTCAATTCCCTCTCTCAGTTCCCCACTCCCTTATCAGTGTTTCCTGGGTTCACCTCCCAGATGAATTGCAAATCCTTTACTCAAGGTCTGATTCTGAAGGAATCCAAACCAAGACAAATCACAAACTTAGTTTGGCAAATTCATGGTATGCAGAAAAGTCAGCAGACATACGTGAGAGTCTGACATTGTATGTAGTGGTGAATAGAACCGGCTTGGGCACTGCCCTACACAGAGGAACTAGAGGGGAATAGATGTGGTATCCAGTCAGTGGTAGATGGCCATTTTCTGAGTGACCCCCTCATCCCATAATAAGCAGCCTCAGTAATCTCATCTGGTAGGGAATACAACTTGGGGAAGAGCCCCTAGAGGGGGCTTGAGAATCACTATGCAGTGATTTTTCTTTTCATGCAAAGTAAATGGCAACAGTTAGAAGCCCTGGGTTCAATCCCAAGTACCGCACACATTTAAAAAAAGAAAAAAAATCACATTTGTCTTCTTTTTTTTTTAAGATCTCTTTTTAAAATGGGATTTTATTTTATTGTAGACTATAACACATAGAATTATGAATATAAAAGTGCATAAATCCTATGAATATTTTAATGTCTTATTACCAAGTGAATAAACAAGTAGCCACAGCAAAGCTTAAGAAGCAAAATTGTAAGCACCCCAGGTTGGCCTCCACTTCCACAAGCACCACTCAGAACCATCCTAATTTCACATTCACAGTAAATGATTTTTTTCTTAAAACTATAGATTCACCATTAAGTATTTAAAGTAGCAAAGCAGCTACTTTATTTTTAAACCTTATTTAAAAAGATTCATCTAGTATGTTTTTATTTGTAGCACATTTTGACCAATATATTTTAAGATTCATCCATGCTGTTTGATATAACTGTAGTTTGTACATGATCAGTGCTATACCATGTTCTGTTATTTGACTGTTCAAGAATTTATCCTATTTGGTGAACATTTGTTTCTATTATTATAGTGCTGGTATTAATTCTTATGATGTATTAGTTTCCTGTTTCTGCTGTAAGAAATCATCACAAACTAAGTGACTTGAAACAACATGAATTTATTATTGTACGGCTCTGCATCGAGTATCTAAAGTGCTTGGGCAGGGTTGTGTTCTGCTGCGGGTTCTAGAGGACTCTGGTCTTCAGCTTCTTGAGCCACTCCTTGGCTTATGACCACATATCCACTCTCTCTGCTTTATTGTATCACCCTCTCCTTAGTCAAATTCCCATCAGTCTCCCTCTTCTATGGACAGTTGTGATTACCTTGGGGTGCATCTGGATAATCAGATCATCTCCCATTCTTAAGTCCTTGATTTAACAATATTTACTAGATCACTATTACCATGCAATGTCACATTCTCATAGGTTGTGGTACGTACAACTTGGTCATTTGGGGAAGGGGTTATTTAGTCTATATACATACATATATACATATATGCTGGAGTACACAATCACCAATTTCTATAGGGTAGCTACCAGGGTCAAGTTTCTTTACTACATGTGACAGACTGGATCATTGTTCAACAAATATTCACTCCTCTCTTCACCTGGAAATGGCCTATACCTCCTCACTACATTCAGTGTGGCTGTGTCAATTACTTTAGCCACTGGTATAAACATGCATGACGTAAACAGAACATTTAAATGTATT